AAGCTTCGCAGAATTACCAAAACAATCTTGACTCAAAAAAAACTGAACATATATAAATCTACTTTTAATACCGATGTGTTTAGATTTACAGTTATAAGCATGACACTTTGTTTTAAGCTAAAACGTCGTTGATATCATTTTTTAAGTTCTTTCATCTAAATTCCTGCCTAGACCTACACAAACTTGACTTTTAAAAATAACATCACTTAAAGCATTTCAGTAATCTTTCTGTTTAATAAAGGATGGCAATTACTAACCTGCAGAACAGAAAACTGCAGAACAATTCAAAATTTCGATTTTAAAATACCCTTTTTTACGGTCGGAAATGTAACGTACACAGAAATCTTTCACCCCATTTTCTCCGCAATGTCACTTATGATTAACAAAAAAATTCACAAAATGAAATCTGCCTTATTATATTTCTCTGGTATAAATACACAGTGCGGAAGATCTCCGCAGATAGATTTTGGTACAGTCGTTTGCTAGATGGTGTCGCCATTTTAACAAACAACAGAAAGTGACCAAGGCCGTATTCCAATACTCGACTTGGGCTTCGTCTCAGGCTTCAGCTGGTTTTTTTTCTACTTCCTGACTTAAGGTTGTAAGAGCCATAGTAAGTCTGATAGTACCACGAAACATCAAGTAAGATGCAAAAGAGCCAAACATTACAGTACTTTAATTTAAGTTAAACGCTTTAGGCCCACGACCGGGGATTGGTTTCCTACATGAAGCCTTAGACGGAGACGAAGTTGAGTTTGACTTTGCCAAATTTTAGCGCATGCGCACAAACTAAATGGAAGGGGTTCAACATAGTGGGTAATCTAAGCTGCGACGGCAATGCAGAAAGCACGGTGGCGCGGCGCAACACATCAGTACGGTACACAGGCACTGGTGTGGGAGACGGTAAACCTGACGGTTGAGTTGGTTGATGGCACGGACGGTCGAGGTGTTGAGGAATTTCACCGGTCGAGTTGTCCCGAGTGGAGTTAGCAAACGGTCGACTTGTCCAAGCCCCCCCCCAGCTGCCACCCCATGCAACGCAGCAGAGCAGTACCATAGCAATATTCAATGTCCTAGAGAAGTGTCCAGTTTTAATAAATTTATTGAGGGTTCAGTGTTTAGAATAAGATTACTTTGATATACCTCTGTGTCAACTCTCAAAGGTGGACCCAGGGGGCCAAAAGAGGCCATGTCCCCCCAAAAGGAGCCGAACTTTTTGTTTGGAGTATAATGAAAGGCGATTTTTGGGTCAGGTGCAATTCCTTTCTTCCCAAAGGGTGTAAAAAGCCCCCAAATTTAGCCTCGGCCTTGAGAGAGGCCATAAAAAGTGAAACGAATACCCCCCCCAAAAAAAAATTGCCCCCACTCTAAAACTTGGTTCTGGATCCATCCTTACCTGCCGTTTGAAAATTGGTACAAACAGTGGCCCCTGTAAAGATCTCAGGTACCTCAATCAGTCACATGCGCGAATGGGCGCGCAGATTTCTTGGCCTCCAAAAGTATGATCACTACACGGATGGTGGCATGTGAGAGAGGACCGTCAGGTAGATAACCATTATGTACTGTAGATCTGCGTTTTGCAGTGTACAGAATAGAATGGAAAATTACGCATGCAGTATTACAAGAACTCGACCTTCTTTCGACAAAATTTTCCTTCGAACGTACATGATAATCACGAACGTACACGTATGCGTGAACCTATCAGGTACAAGTACATGCACATACATGACACTATCACGTGTGGCTCCTTCGTGAAAAATGTTTCATTATACGTGTTGTCACGTTTCTGTACATTTTCTGTAGTCGCGAGAATGCGCTCCTGTACGTTTCCTAGTATAGGACTACTCTCGAAGGCCCCATTAAAATTGGCCGTATGTACATTTGAATATTTCATATACTGCCCATAAGCTGCCACGTTGGTTGACTGCTATCTTTGACTGAAGCAATCAGTATATAAGCTAACTAGAGCATTAACAAGAATCTTGAAACAGATAATTTTGATACTTTGGGCGTGAAAGAGTTCAAATTGATGCTGAAGAATAAATAACTAAAATAGCCTATTTTGAATTCATTTGCTTGCATTTCACAAATATTTGCTTCTGGTAATTGATCAAACTTTCGCAGTTAGAAGCTACGGCGAATTTGAATGGCCTTCTTTTTTGACTGGTGAGTTTCTTTTAAAAATAATTATGGCATAATGAATCACGTTTTAATTTAACGTTGGTTAGAACATGCATCCGAATTTCACTGAAGGGAGTGGTTTGCCATCATTTTCAAAGACAAATCCACTAAATACGCCGAGATAATTTCAGACACCATTATCTTGTGGCTTCTGGCAAATAAAATGAAAATTGTAGTCACAGTAAACATCGTTCCAGCCCCTAAAAGACGTCACGATGCAATCCTCTGATCCTCTGTAATTATTGGGTTCACCAGGTTCAAAACTATTGTAAATGATATCGACTTGTGGGTCCCCAGCCCAGCTCCATACGCCCTCCTCCATAATGTCATTCAGACCAAGCCAGATGACTTCATAGTTAGGCTGCAGTAAGTCAAGAAGCACTGTGTTATCGACTTCGTCCTGAATCTTGAGAAGATTGGAGCGACTACCGATTTGCCGACAGATTGACTCAGCCTCCTGCCAAGTCTTTGCTACCTCGAAGAACATCTGACGGTTAAGTGAGAAAAAAAATAAATAAAATGACTGCAGGATGATGAAAGACAAAGAAGAGATTAAGGGACACCTTTCACCGTAAAAAGTAAAGACGATCGGGTAAAATTTCAACAAATGAAAGAAGAAATTGCCAAAAAGAATGAGCAGCTGGTAAATCGACGAACGTATAAAGGGATAAAAATAAAGACGACAACGATACGCTGCCAACAGAATCCCGGTTTCATTGTTATTAAACTCTTTGTTGGAAAATATATATTATTACCTTGACGCAGGAATGATCACGGAATTTTACCCATCCTCTTGGGCACTCCCCTGCTGTGCACCGAGGCTCCGATTGTCGTTTGAGACACACAAAGATGGCCCAAAGTAGTATTTTTTTCATTATGACAACACTTTCATTGCAGTCCAACTCTACGGCTGAGTTAACTCAACAGAAAGTCAGTTGCATCCTGATTCAATGACTGGCGGATGGATGAAAATATTGGACGCTTGCTTCAGGACTTTGTGCAGACTGCTTCACAACTCAGGTACATCTAGTTTTATAAGCAAAGACGCATATGGGGGCCGAGGTTGAATTAAGGTTTTTTTTTAATCTTACAGACTGCCTATACCGTGGTCAAATTAACAGTTGTGATAAAAAATTGATTTGGTGGTTGTGGTATAAAACGACCCCACTCAAAAAAGCAGAAATCGTTTCTTGGTGTGATGTTTCAACCCGTGAAGGCCTTCAGACCTACGACTGAACGAAGTCCTTTTGTTTACTGAGGCGCAGGTGAATTTTGATATTGAAACATCTGTGTCATAATCACCAACACTTATTAATTAAAAACGCCAACGGTTTCTTTATGAACATGGAATATTAGTTTATTAGTTTACCGAATTGTCCTTACAATACCTAACTGAGCATTTTGTCTGAACAAAGAACCACGAATGAAAATAAATACATGCATAGTAAATTAGGCTAAATTTCTGGGTCACATGGTTACATGTTTACTGTTTACATGCAAAATTAACCCAGAGTTGTAATGAGTTACTAATGCTGTTACTCTAGTCAGGTCTTTTTAACGTAGTGACTTGAGTCGAGTCATTGTAACGTCGTGATCCAAGTCGAGTCGAATCATTAGGCAAAAAAGTCGAGTCGAGTCAAATATTTAGCTTGAGTCAGTGCGAGTCACCAATCATTTCAACACAATACAGGCGCGGATCCAGGGGGTTGGGGCGAAACACCCCCGCTCTAAAAAAAGGTTTAAAAATGGGGAAAATAATAAACATAGGCTTAACTAAAGTAAGTGCACCAATACAATGTGTGTAATTTAATGTTTCATCGTTGTTTCCACTTGTCCGCAAAAGATGAGATATTAAAATATTCTTCAGCCTGAACCCCCCCCCCGGAAAATTCCTGGATCCGCCCGTGCAATAGGATTAATAAAAACAAGAGAGGAAGTCATTTAGGGGCATTATCAAATTTACCACTGGATTTCTGAATGCGGTCACACCACATATATTGATGATAATAACACAGGCAGTAACTTATCAATCGGCACCATGAGTCAATGCATTTTCTTTTTCGAAAAGAAGCTTGCTATTATTTTTGGGACTCAAGTCTTATTAACACTCGAGTCAGGTCTTCTGATAAAGGACTCTAGTTGAGTCGAATCATTTTCGTTGCAGTGACGCGAATCGAGTATCATTTACCCATCGGGTCAACTTCAAGCATCCAAAAAATTGAAGGTTTGAATGCCTGAAGTTGTGTTTGCGGTCACCTACG